AGGGACTTATTCCGATATCGCAAAATATTTATTTATTTTATTTATATCAAATGCAGGCTTTGTGGTAGCTATCATTAGCCCCTAAGTTGACTTCGGACTTCACAGAAGGGAGGAACATCAAAGTCGCAAAAAGTCCAGAGGGGGGAGGGGGACAGAAGAGTGATTCACAGATGTCAAAGAGACACAAGGTCGGGAAAAAGGTAAGTTGCGGTGAGTACTGTGGAAGTGGTAAGATATGGCAGTCAGTCTGGTCTTGGTAGTTTGAAGTTAAATGCCGGTTTATAGGTTTTATTGATGTAATAGAATACGTAGCCAAGGGTTCACCACTTCTATATATTTTCACTAATAATTCCCTTCATTTATTCTGCAATTTTTACGATTTGATATTCTGTAATTAACTTGTTCGTGGCCTATAATCTGGCACTCATACACATACAATATGACACAGATTTTCCATACTAATTTTACATCCGCGTGACGTTTCAAAAGAACAGAATTAGAGCTGGAGAGCTAGTTTGCTAGTAAGAGAGAGAGAGAGAGGGAGGGAGAGAGGAAGGATGTTTTGCTACGGCGCATCGACCCTGCTAACAAACAGATGCAGAAGAATGTGCTGCGTTGTCCTGGTCGTTCTAGCTGCTACTTTTAGACAGCCAATTGACATGCGCTAGCAAGGCGTGCGCAAGGGCAAGTGGAGAAGGAGGAGAAGGAGGAAGAGGGGAGAGGAGAGCGGATGGGGAAGCAGGCGGGTGTGTACTTTCTCCCATTTGACCTTCACGCGTCCATTCGTCCGTGCGCGTACTTGTTTACGCTTCTACTACTGTGCTTCATCCAGCGTCTGGGTAGGCAGGCTGTAGCAGTGTGGTTACTGCAGCGATGTTGTGCAGAAATTAGCCCAGAATTGGACGTGCTCTCTCTCACTCTGGGTTGAATGGGAGGAGGTGGGGGGGGGGGGGGGGGGGGGGGATGTGAGTGTGCAGAATCGAAATTCTGTGCGCTAGTGTTACATGTGCGTTCACACATCAACACCTGGTATTCTGTGAATAGTTCACTTGGGTTGCCGCATTGTATTTAAAGCAATTAAACCTGATTAGAGAAGTTTAAAAGTACTGTACATTCGATGGAAGCGCGTACAGTTTAATTGATAGAAGAATGTTTCATGAATGCTATTGTCTTTATCAAGAGAATTTATCACAAATTATTTGTAACTTTATGGCTGGTGTTAGTTAAGACGCAACATATTATTAAATGTGTTTGAATTGACAGTGATACATCGTCTATTGTCAACCCTACACCTTACTAAATACTTCGATTCCGTCGACTTGGGTGGGGGGAGAGGGGGGGGGGGTTGTGATGGTACGCTTGTAAAATTCTGAATTAGCATTTTACTGGCACCTCCATTATTTATCTAATCTGAACTTGGGATGATCGGGATGTCACGTCATTTTATTGATCAGAATATAATGTGACTACACCATTATTGCTTCATGCGAAGTGAAATTAGTCATTTGGGAACATTCAAGTCAACTCGAGTTGATTGACCTTTATAAAGGTTTTGCTATACGATTTAATCATCCGCAGATGTTTATTGCCATCCACTGGGTCTAGCTGTTGACAATCTCTTTAAGTTTCTGTTAATACATTTAAGGCCGGGATGATGATGATGATGATATCACTATCACCTTTAGACCTACTACCAAGTAAATGCTACCTCTATCTATCAAACGACTTGAAGGTATATTGCAAAGTGTGGAAGTTTGGAAAATTTAGCCAACTTCAGATTTTCGCTCTTGATAATCGATTATTATCAGATCACCGTCAAGATTTAGGCTCCCAAATGACCCAATTTATCCATGTTAAAACGAAGTAACACCACTCACTCCCATAGGCCTCTATTTAATTACTCCGTCACTTCCCACTTTTAAGTCTCATTTGTGTCTTTGACGCGAACTTCAGACTAAATTTAACCAATTTTAATAGTAAGGCCAAATTTGACATTTACGTCATAGAACCCTCAAAGTCGGTAGCCCAGTTCAATCAAAGAACTTGTCGCCAAATATATAAAATATCAACGTATTAAATAAACAGTTGTTCGGTTGTCTCCACAACTTTAATCGGTACCTAGTTTCGATTCTGCCTGCAGTTATGGGGGGTGCACCAATTAGAGACACAATTATCTTTCCTTTATCGGATTCTTTTTATAGAAAACTCATTAATAAAAGCCCCGGAAGTCGATCAAAAGGCCCTGATAATTAGAGGATTCTTAATTCACAGCTTTGGGATTATCTTCGATATACTTTGTGGACAATGCTAATTAGTTGGTTACTGTAGCTTATACGATGGTTAGGACTACAACCGACTCAAATTCGGTATAATTGCCATGGGGACAACTAAGGCATTTCGCACGCTCTGTTTGGCAAATTTTTTTTTGGAATGTAGAGTTCTCCTCTAACGGGAACTGAGGAACAATTAACCGACGGGGCGCTGACAGCCTTGTGTAGGCTAGCTAATTCTGGATGTCAAGACCTGTGTGTGCGTTCACATCCACGTAAAATTGCGTGATTCAATTTACTTAAGCCGAGACAATTATAAGTGGCTTAGATTTGGGACGCCATAAGAAATAGTGTAATCCTTGCTTATTACTTTATTAACAAATAAAAAAGGCTGCCCTTTGTATGAGTATACCCTCTCTACACGGGTAATAGCCAATCGGTTTCCAAAGTGTTAGGGATAAGGTTGAGAAGCTGTTTAGAACCTCCAATTTACTCGCCCCCCGCCCCCATCTTCCTCTTCTTAGGTTCAGGTACTTGTATTCCACTACACTGTGAATTTTCCCCATCACTTTCCTATTATACTCAGGACTCTTGCGCAATTTATAGGCTATATTATATCACAAATCTGGGGTACGTGATTGACTTACCTTCATATGGTTCACCCTGGACAACGTATACCCATACGACGAGTAAGTCAATAAAACGGCAGTTGACTTCAGAGTACCATGACCCCACTGTATGTCATACTCGACCCCTTCCACAGTACTCATCTTGCCTTTTCTCTGCCTTTGTGTCTGTCTGCCTGTCTGTCTCTTTAACACCTGTGAATCATTATTCTGTCCCTCCCCCCTCCCATGTCTCTTTTACGTCTGTGAATCATTATTCTGTCCCCCCGTCGACTTTTTGTCACTTTGATGTTCCTCCTCCTCTCTGTGAAGTCCGAAGTCAGCTAAAGGGCTAATTATAACTCTCATAAAGCCAGCCAGTTGATATAAATTTCGCAAATCTTGTCAATAATCTTCTCCACCACATTTCCTAATTATTGTAAATATTTGAGCTCGTTTCAGTGAGTTCTACTATGCTAAAGCCATTTTGATTCACATTATTCAATAACAGATCAAATTGATCGATTGTTACATTAAGTTCCTATCGTCGAGAGCATAAACAGCCCCAAGAAACCGCGGGGAAATGCTGAAAATTTGAGTACCGCGTTGTAACAGTTGGATGAGTTAATTATGCTCGGGAATTAATAGCACAACACGGGATTTAGACAAATTAAACTGAATTCCCGTTTTACTGCTTTCCCAAGTCGAAAATAAAACGAGGAACTTTGATGCCCTTTAGTATTTTTGGACGTGGGGTGTGCGATAGACTTACCTCCACGTGGTACACCCTGGGCAACGTATACTCATACGGCAAAAAAGTCTATTAACCGGCAGCTGACTTCTCACTTCAAACTACCACGACCCCCCTGGTTGTCATATTCGACCCCTTTCACTGTACTCACCTTACCTTTTTTCTACCTTTGTGTCTGTCTGCCTCTTTTACATCTGTGAATCGCTCTTCTCTTCCCCATCCCTCGACTTTCTGCTACTTTGATGAACCTTTCCTCTGTGAAGCCCGCAGTCAGCTAAAGGGCTAATGATAAGTGTCATAAAGCCCGCCATTTGAAATAAATAAAATTTGGACGTACATTAATCATTTATTATAACTTCCCAAACGGCCATCTAACGGTCTACCTTGGTCTTGGAGCTCTAACCTATCCCTTAAATGATCATTTAAACATCCACACTTATGCTGCACAACCGAAAATTTCTGCACGTAATCCAGATCTCCCACAAAGCTTTTTGTTCAAAATCGCCCTTCGCAAACTCGCCTTAATAACAGACAGGTCTAACAACCCCCCAGTTTCCCAGAGTTCCTAAAACCCACCCAACTGAAACCTTCACATAAACACACAAGCTCCTGCAATTCGTATCCCCCCTCCCAAAGAATTTAATATAAAATATCGTGGTGAGCCTTTATTCAAGCCAGAAAGGGGTATGATGTATTGGAAGGTCTAGAGAAGTCAAAAACTAGAGAGTACATAATTTGAAATGCGTGGGTTGGTTGGGTGAGAAGGGAGGATTTGAGTAACATGCTTTGAGTATAAAATATAAAGAGCAAAGTGATGACAAAGGCTGATAGTAGTAGTCGTACTTGTAACAAAGGGTGAGAGGAGAAGAAAGGCAAGAGATACGCGAACTTGTACAATATAATTACAATACACACACACACACACACACACACCCCGTGAGTGACCCTGTTTAAATCGATCAAGAAAGAAAGGAGCTGTTAGGTAGAGACTGTTAGGGGTAAGAACGAATGAATGAATAATGGCAAAACATACACACGCACACACACACGCGCGCAAAGTATATTGTTTTTATTAGCTGGATAGATTGCATAATGATTATATCGGTGTAAAATATGATTACCGAATTGAGAAGAAAAGAGATGAATATAACCTGTTTAACCGAGGAAGTTTGTGTAGACACTTTTTCTTGCAAGAACCACAGAGTGCATTGGCGCATTTTTGGTTTAAAAAGTTAGGTCGTGACGTGGAGAACAAAAGGAGGGTTTTACAGATTGTCTGTGTATTGATTGTCTGTCATGTGTAACGGGACCCTGTATTGAAGATGCTACTGAGTATTGCTATTGGCTTAGCGAGTCAAAATCAGCTTTAAGTAATCAATGTATTGCAGACGATTGTTGGGGTGCGAGGCAAGCGTCTTGCTGACGACAGATTTCACAGACCCAGTCATCTGGAAAACTCGTCGATTGATAGCCGGGAGAGGAACCCGTTAGACAATAGCCATGGTAACCACGGTCGCATTCACAACAGCATATTATCAACTCCTAAAGCACAAACAAAATACCCATTTAAAACAATTCTAAAATACAAAGCTAAAGAATCGAATATTAGCGGTACACTTGAGTGTAGTTAATAGGTTACACCCATTGTGAAATCGGGCTATCGATTAATGATTTTACCACTCATTCCTGGATTTGTAAGATCCCTAATGAAGTAACCACCGTTGCAACTATTGGTCAATCAGAAGAAGGTTGACTTTTTTAATTGAGAATCGCCTTTTGATCTAAAGGCCTTCCTCCTTCGGCCTCTTGGGATCTAAGTAGCCATATCTTTATAATGTTGTCGACTTAACGCCATATGTGATAAATTCGTGAAAATTCTATTAAAAGAGAACCACTCTCTATGATAGGAAGGGGGGGTGTGCGATAGACTTACCTGCACGTGATGAACCCTGAGCAACGTATACTCATACGGAAAACTGTGATGAACCCTGAGCAACGTATACTCATACGGAAAACTAAGTCTATTAACCAGCAGTTGACTTCTGACTTCAAACTACCATGTCATATTCAACCCCTTCCACGGTACTCACCTCACCTTTTTCAAATTTTTTGTCTGTCTATTTTACATTTTTGAAACACTCTTCTGTTCCCCCCTCCTCCCTCTAGACTATTTTACTTTGATGTTCCTTCCCCTCTGTGAAGCCTGAAGTCAACTAAAGGACTAATGATAACAATCAAAACGCCTGCCATTTGGCATAAATAAATAAATATTATTTATTAGTTAAAAGTATTGAGGAAAAAATCGAAAAAGGTAAGTGATTTAGATCAGTTTTGCACAATTTAAAGTTCATCAATCCCTTATGTCTAGAGTGGGCTCAAGACAGGTAGGGGAGGGGATTTTCTTTATGACAAAAGGAATTCTGACTATATATCTGGACATTTAATGAGTTCCATCGCGTCAATTTATTTTCTAATTAGAAATTTAATTTAATTAATTTGGAGGATTTACGACATTCACATCCTCCGATCAGAAACAGCTGCTTGTGTATTGTGAACAAAAAAATCAATTAAATGGCGAATTCGAGACTTCCGTTTTTTCGACAATAGCACCTCGTACGTTTAAGACAAAAGCTACGATATTGTATTTGGGGGTGCGCGATAGACTTACCTCGACGTGGTGCACCATGGGCAACGTATACTCATACAGCAAAAAAGTCTATAAACTGGCAGTTGATTTCTGACTTCAAACTACCATCACCCCACTGTATGTCATTTTCGACCACTTCCACAGTACTCACCTCCCCCCCTCTCGAATCTTTTTCACTTTGGTGTTCCTTCCTTACTATTGATGTAAATTCGCGAAACCCCGGAATTCAAAAGGACTAAACTTGGAACTATTAATCTAGTCGGCTAAAAACTCCTTTCGATCTATTCTGGGAAAAGCTAGAAAATCACTTTTATCCGAGAATTGCAAAATGCCTTAGTCAAGACTTTCCTTATACTGGCTTGTCACAGCAGAAAATGAACTGCAGTTAACAGTAGTATAGCCTCATTTATGCAAGTAAGCTGTCAACAAAAGGTCACCAACCCACCCCCACCTCCCCCCAGTCCCCACTCACGGGTTAAATTAAAAGACAACCATACATCACATGATTCCGTAACAACTAGTAGCATATTAACAATCTTGTCACTTGACACAGGTCCTGAGATAAAAATGATAAAAATAAATCAAACGCACCAAGGCTAATTAATTACAAAATGTAGTTTGAGGGAAATATGAAGAATTCCGCCTCCCCTCTCCCCCCCCCCCCCCCCCCCCCCCCCCACGTTCTGATCCAGTTCTAGTCATCGTGTACTTTAGCCAAAAACGGTATTTTTACTTTGACAGACTATAACGGTGTAAACATTCTCAAAAATAGGGTATAGAGAATGATTTGATTCAAAATAGTCAACTTCAAATAGAAAGCTATTCTTTGTATGTGGTGCGCGTGTGTTTGCTGCTTTTGACAGCGGTAGTATTGGTTTGAATTTTCAACATCTTAAATTTTTCAGCAGTTTAAGTTTAGTCGCGTTCGCTTCAAATTCCAGAAGCAGCTGACTGAGAGTAAGGGAAAGAGCAGCGGCTAAAATTTGGGGGAGTTTAAGAGGAAGATCAAACGGGCCAAAACCTTGTGAGTGAGGGGAAAATGGTAATGACCCAGCGAGAGGGAGATAGAGCGAACGTGGTTGATAAGATTTGCCTTTAATTTTTTTCCTGCCTCTGTAAAGCGGGAATACAACACAACACCGTAGCAACTTCCCATCAATGCATTCATCTCTCTCTCCCTCTTCCTCTCCCTCTCTCTCTCTCTCCCAGTGATTTTGAAACAGTTGCTTGTTTTCGTCAGTAATGGATGGTTGGTCTTGGCTTTTCTTCGGTCAGCCACCACCTCCAATCTCTTTTGGAACTGTTGCAGCCTTCTCTCTCTCTCCCCCCCTCTCGTCCAGACTTTGCCTTCCAATAAAAATAATCTTCTCTGTGGTGTAATAAATCATCCGAACGAAATTATCAAAAAGACAAGGTAGTAGGTATGGCTACCTTATGAAC